TTAAAAGAAGTGGCCGGCTGTTTCTCAGCCGCCGCATGTTTCCTGGCAGAACCAGGAGAACTCGCAACAGTCGTCCTCCGGGCCTTGGGGTCCGGCTGTTGGGAAGAAGAAGCTCTTGGAGCGCCCGTCTAAAAAAGAAGAAAAAAGTCAGTATATGCATAAACACATCTCCAAAAAAAAGGGGTGAAAGGTTCGAAGCCCACCAAGGGTACCCCCTTCTTGGGGGAGTCGGTTGAAGCTTGTTGCATGATGGAGGCCCGCAACATGGCCGCCGCAGTCTTGGAGGCGGTAATTTTGCTCATGGCGTCCGCTGCAAAAACAAACAGCAAAGTTAATAAAAGTTATAACAAAAATGCACGAAACATCAGAGTATTCGACAGGCCGACTACCTCTTGAGGACCGACTGCTGAGGCCACAGGCGGCCAAAAAGTACTCGTCGTAGAGCCATTTGAAGCTCGGGACGCAGTGCAGGGGTACTTGCTCTCGTACCCCTGAAGTAGAGTCGACCCTCGACTCTACTTTAAAGAGTCCTTTATCCAGGATCTCTTTCTTAGCTTTGGGGGGAACAGGCGGCATGCTGCGGCCGCCTGCAAGAAGGGGTGGATTCCTGTTCCACCTGTTGAGGCGCTTGTTCAGCTCTGTGTCTGAACTCTCAATGATGAAGAAGGTGCACCGCCAGTCCTTCCATTTGTTTGCTTTACCTCTCGTCATGAGGTAGCCCCTGTGGCTCGTCAATTGATACCAGCCGGTACCGCCTGCCTTAGGGGTGCGGCTGAGGTAGTTCATGTGGGCGAAAGCCTCGAAGCTCGGCTCCACCCCGTGCAGTTCGCACCCGGCCACATAGCCGAGTACGTTGACCCAGGAGTTCGGGGCTAACTTCCATAACCCCAACTCATACCCATCCAAGATCCGCTGAACATCCGGATGTAATGGAAAGCGCAGCCCAGCCTTGATGGCCGCCTCGTAGCAGCCAAAGCAGGCGCTATCATAACTGGTACCAGCCGGCCAGACGACTGTGTCTTCTGGATCCGGCACGAACACTAAAAAGCCGGGGCCCATTGTGTGGTTTGCGATAAAGCTCTCCACTTTCTCTTGCATGGCCGTGATCCGGCCCCGAGGTACCGTGCAGTAGTAGGGGGTATTTTGCTCTCGGTAAGAGGCGGATGGCTCCGCCCAATTGTCCCCCTTCTCAACTGCGTGAGAAAGTCTCGCCTCTTGCAGGCGACTGTTTTTCTCTTCTGTGTCCAGAGAAGCATGGCCAGAAGAGCTAGACTCGGAATCGTCCTCTGACGAGTCCGAAGAGGACGACTCCTCCCCTCTCCCGGAGGGGCCCGCCTCCTCTCCTTTAAAAGGAGCAGGAGAGAATGAAGAATTGTCAACTGTGAAATGGGAAGGGGTCACTTTGATTCCTCCCTCAGAACAGCCGGCTTTCAAGCCGCTTTGTTTCACTTCCACATCTGGCGCCTGGTCAGATGTTTCACTAATCGGCACCCTGCGGGAGGAGCCGTCTGAATTTGAGATCCTGGCAGTCTTTTTTGTTCTGGCCATCATGCTCTGCATAGACACAGATACAGTCGGACTTTGTATAAAGGGCAAAGATGGGTCCGGAAAAGGGCAGGCGGCACTCCTAGTCCTAGATTCAGCCGTCCCCGGTGACCGACTGATCACTAACCTAGGTCGTGTCGTGTGCTTCCGTGGTGCCATTTCAAAAAAGAATAAAATAAAGAAAATTAAGAGTAAGAGAACCGACGGTTACCTGAACGAGTGAGGGTTGATGAAGTTCTGAAAATCCTTTGCAGTCGGCTTGTCAGAGCAGGCGGTAGGCAGAAAGAGTCCAAAATGTCAGAGCAAGTTCAGGGGTCCGAATGTCCTCTCACAAAATTCTCAAGTGTGAATGACAGAAGTCAACACTCCCTTATATATAGGCGAAGTGGGAAGGCGAAGGGTCACTTCCAGAATTCGGGGTTTTCTGATGTCCTGCGGGAGAGTTACAATTCCGAGATTGGAACCGGACGCCTGTACCTGCAAAACAACGGAGACTCCTGGTGGTGGGAGCTCCGCCTCCAACGGTCAAGTTAGTACTTGATTAAGGAGTAATTAATGCGGAAATTAAAGTGATTGGGTCTCTCTAGGTGAGAGTGTTTAATGTAGGTAATCTGCTTTGTTAGCGTGATCAGCCTGTTATCTCTGTGATATACGTGTAATCCCCCCTTAATGAGGATTAGGGGAGGTATTTATAACCTTGGGAAACGTGTCAATCCTAGGTTTAGGTTAACCTAGGGCTGATTGGGCTTCCCTCGGAAGTTGGGCCTGGGTGGCCGGTTTCTCCATTAAGCATGGAGTATGCCACGTGTCATGACATAGTAGGTCCAAGGTGGACGAATAAGCGCGTGCCACGTGGCAAGCCCTGATAGTTCCAACTGGGGGACACTTGGCAGGACCTGATTGGCCCACGTTGCGCATTCCGATTGGTGGGAGCAAAATCCCCTAATCAATAATTATTAAAGAAAAAAAAATAAAGATATAATAAATTGTTGAAATATGTTCAATTTTTATGTACTAAATGTTCATTTTCAATGTACTAAAAGTTCATTTTCTACTAGATGTTCATTTTAAATTACTACGTGTTCATTTTTTTTACAGAAATTATACTCAAGTTCGATCGTAATTATTTTAACTCCAAAAAAGTTGAATATAATCAAATTAATCTTGATTCATCATAGAGAAAATAATTATTGATTTTTTCTTCAAAAACAATAATAATTATTTATTTTCCATTGAAAAAATAGTTATTGATTTGTAACATGATTGAGAATCTAAAAACCACCAACAAAAGAGAGAGAAAGAATACCAAGAATTTAATTATTTTCAAAAAAAAAAAAGCAATTCAATTACTATTCACATCAAAATCAGAATACCAAGAATTAAAATTAAATCATAAAATCAAAAACCAATTTATCAAGAGTATATTGAAACTCATCAAATTATAAATTCAATAACAATTACAAACTCATCCAAAAGTCTAACTTAATTAAACTAATTGTAAACAACACAAAAACTAACCTTCATTGATGATCTCATTAAGATTAACAACCAAATCCATAGTGTTGCATATAACAGAGGAGAGAGAAAATGTCAAATGAAAGAGAAGAAAGAGGAGAGAGAGAATTTCGAATGGAAGATGGGAGAGAGGAGAGTGAAAATTGAGATCAAAATTATTATTATGAAAGTGAAGAAAGAGAATCATAAAAAATGAAACTTAAGGAAGAAGATGAATTAAGTTTGTGTTTCATTCAGTGGAGGTTGCGTTTTGCCTTGGTGCAGCTATCTTGGATGCATTAGAATGCAACCAAGAATTTTAACTAATCATGAAATGGATTGGGCTAGCATAGTTAGATTGGAATTAGGTTTTGGACTTTTGACATGAGCTCTTATTTAGAGATGAGATCTATAAAAAAGATCCATGCCTAGGGTTGTTTGCAAGCAGTCATAATTCACACACAGTATATTTTAACATCAAGTCAACCAATCCCAAAACCCTAATTCCTCTCTTTATCTCACGGCTATCTCTCTCATCCCTTCGTCCGTACGGCCGGCCACCCTTGGTGGCGCGTGTGGTGGTTCATGGTGGTTCATGGCGGTTCGTTACTCGCTCTTCTCCATAGAAGGTTAATTGAAGGGTTCAATTGCAGCTAAATAGCATTAGTGGAGGTCTTAATCTGTGCCCGTGGACCAAGTAGAGGAATCACGCTTGGGGTTCTTTATCTCCTATTTTTCTTGCTCGATCGCACGTGGAATCACGCTTCAAAGGTACAATTATATGTTCTTTATGTGTTATGCATTAGATATTGGGATTAGGTACTTTATGAATATGATTCATGTTTATTCCGCAATTAGTACCTATTATTTCTTACATATGTCACGTACCTCTTGTGGTGAAATGGTGCACTCTTGTTTTGGATGATCTTGTTAGAACGCACTATTCGCAAATGTGCGTGTTTGGAGTTTAGACTTTTGGATGGATATGAAAGGGGACAACCTATACCATTTAGACCTACATAGAAGTATATTTTTAAATATTTAAATTTGGTAATTTTATAACTTTTACATGTGGGTCGATGTAATCAATATTTATTTATACTTAATATTTCTTTTTTGGGTAATTATGTATGTAATCGGCTACATATAAGCATATAATCATGCAATAGTCAAATGAAATTAATGTTTATTTGTCTTAATATTTCTTTTTGAGTAATATATATATATATACATGTAGTCCATCTACATATAAAAGGAATAAGCATTAAACTAATTTCGTTAACTGGTACGAAGTATAAATATGAGAAATCATGCTATAAACACGCGTGAATCAATATAGTTAATGTATATTAATTCTCAATATTTTCTTTTTATACTTCTAATATTTTCGTTAAAAAACTTCTTAAACGTAACCCTTACGACTTTGTTTAACAAGTTTCTTTACACTAAGGGTTTGTTCTCATTGATTGAATTGAATTGAATTGAATTGAATTGAACTGAACTTAACTTATTAGAGCTGAACTGAACTGAACTGAGGTGAACTAAACTGAATATTTTATAAGAGAAGGAAATTAGGTGCTGAATTGAACTGAACTTATTAGAGATGAACTGAACTGAACTGAAAATAATCGTATCAGAACAGACCCTACATAAGAAGTTTTTCATATACTCCATCCGTCCCCTTTTGATAGTCCCTTATGGACAAATTTTAGTCCCAAAATGTTTACCCCATTTGTTTTTTCCAATAACCATTAATATTAAATTTTTTACCAAAATTCCCTCCAATTTGCAATAATATTTGTGCAAGTTTAACTTTCCTATGTAATTTTTGTTTTCCCGTGTAATTTTATTACTTTCTCTCTCTACTTTTTCGCATACTCAATGTCAATTTAAATGTCAATTTATTTTTTCAATGTAATCTAACTATTCTTATTTGTGTTTATTAATTCCCGTGAAAAATGCCCATTAGGGACTATCAAAAGGGGATGAAGGGAATAACAAAGACCGGAAATAAGTTCTCGATACTCGAATTAGTCACGGGAAAAACCGTAAAAGGGTTCATTTATTTTATAGTTACGTACAATCAGTCAAGCAAAAGAGTACAAAATCAAATGTTGGGTTCGAAATATGTTAGGTGTCAAAAAAACTCAAAACAAAAAATAAAAAATAAAAAATTCCAAATTATTTAATTGAATCTACGGTCAAAGTAGTAGTCATACACAAACACACACGCGCACACTCACTTTCTCTCTCCTCCGCCGTCAGCGCCACCTGACGCCGCCATCTCCGACGCCGCTATCGCACTCTACGTCGTTGCGACGCCGCCATTTTCGACCACATCATCGACTGACACAGGCGACGACACTGCTGGATTCTCTCTCCTCCAGTTGCATCCTCTGAGTTTGCATGTCGTAAATTCGCCATTTTCTGTTTGTGAGGTTTGTGAGAAACCCTAACTATTTTCCCCCTTTTGTGATTGTTAGAATTCTTGTTTTTTGGATGAATTTTGGTCTGAGTTTGCATGTATGTTTGGTGTCTAATTTTTTGTTGTTGTTGAATTATAATTTTGATTTTGGTGTCAATTTCTTGTTAATTCTGTCGCTAATGTAGGAAATTGGTTCAATTAGGACTACAATTGAATTCTTTGTTTCTGTCAAATGTTATTCCGGTCAAAGTCTGTTTCGGTTCGGTTTTTGGCATTGTCAATGTTGTTCAAAAAATTTGTTCAAGAAAGCTTTGATGTTGAGCCATCTTGAGATCATCACTTGTTTGCGTAACTTTAATACGTGTGAACTAGAATGTGATATACTACGTACTCGTATTATATTGGACTGTTGGAGTTCTGGGCTAATTTAACAAAATCGAGTAGCGAATGGCCTGTCTTTACCTGTTCAAGGTGTAGGAACGTATTGTCTTTGGCGTTGCAATGAGCATCTTGGTGCTTTTGGTTTGATGATATTGTTTTGTTGTTGTCAATGTGGATGGTTAAATTGAATGTCGCTCATGTTGTAGGCGATTTAGTTAGAATGTGCCATTCACATATAGTGTGCTTGGATGTGAAAAGTTAGAGGTAAATGAAGGCGAGATAGGTTGAATGAACGACCCATTTTTGTCTTGTTTTGGGTGTGGAATGAGATAGGAAAGGTATTGATAGGTATCCAAAATAATTATAATATTCTCCTATTTTTTGTGTTTTCCCGTGATGGGGTGATCGCTTTTTGCTCATAAATAAAATTGTCCTACTTATCTTGTACCAAATGAAGGAAATCCAGGATATGTGCTTTGCTAATACATTATGGCGTTGTTTGGTGCCTTTTTCCTTCAATTAATAGTATTTTTTATAAGTACGATGCTAGTATTCCTTATATTAAATGGCTAATCCACTGTATTCTTAAAATTTTTTGTCTCTTTAATTTCATTCGAAGAGTTAAAGTAATCAGAGTATATTTCATTTTTAAAATTTTTTTGTCTCTTTTTTGGTTGCTTCACTTGCATGTGTTTGTGTTTTTTTCAGGAATCTCAAGAAAGTGCTCAGGTTGTGTAGTTTGGGGGATCACCAAGTACACATCTTGAGCACTGTTGCTACTATTGTGTCTCATGATGGTATGCTCTCAAATTTTCTGTTGATTTAATAGATGATACATCATGTCCGCAATATGTTTTTTGGCTAATATATGTATTTGTAATCATTTTTTCCGTGGCTCTTTCAGCCTAAGGTTTTAAACATCTCAGATACAGAAAGTTTATCTGATGGGGAGGATGAAAACCAAAGCATACGTGACATAGATGGATTGGGATTTGAAATGACATCGGAGGTTGCAGAGCCAAGGCATCTTGGGGTAATGTGAAATTTTTTGTTGTTCACTTATTCTAAATGTTGAATGGAGATATTGCAATCTGTTAAATTGTCCCCCCTCTTGCACTTGTAACCTCCTGTCCTCCTAACTGTGATATATGTATGCAAGTTCCAAAAGTAACATATCAACATTATGATGGTTTTTCTTGGGTTAATTATTTAGGAGCCCTTTCCCTAAATAATGTTGCGAAATTATCTAATTCCCAAATTACAACTACTCTTTTTTTAATTCCCATTATACCGTCCACGTCAGCTAAGGAAAACAAACCGATTTTTTTTTTCTCGGTCCAACAACAAACTGCTACTTCAAGTAGCGGTTTTAATTTTGTAAACCGCTACTTCAAGTAGCGGTTTTCCTCAAAACACCACTACTTGAAGTAGCGGTTTATGAAATTAAAACCGATACTTCAAGTAGCGGTTTATGGGTTTGTTTTGTAAGTTTTCTTTCAAAACAAAATATCTGTAAATCAGTAATTAGTAAATACAAACCGCTACTTGAAGTAGCGGTTTTTAATATGTAAACCGCTACTTGAAGTAGCGGTTTTCTAATAAACCCGTTTTTTTAAAAAATTCCCACTGAACCGGTGACGTGGACGGTATGGTGGGAATTAAAAAAAGACTAGCTGTAATTTGCCAATGACAATATATTTTCTATCTTTTACATACGTGGTTCTAAGTTTTGGGGACTTGCTTTTCTTTGCAACAAATTTTAATTGCACTGATGTTGTGCAAATTTGAGGATTTGGACTCATGTTTCTGGATCAGAAGGTTTCTTTCAGGATATATTAACGTCTTTTTTTGATATCATATTTCTCAGGAAAATGTTGCCAGCTCATCGGGAACTAATTTGAGATCTTCTTTCATTGGCATGGGATTTACTCCTTCTCTAATAGATAAAGTGATTAAAGAAAAAGGTAACAAATGTGATTTTATCTTCGTGAATATTTATGCAATGTATGCTGCAATATGTCAAATTAGAAAAAGGAAGTTGCAAGAAGAAATTGACCTAGTATTAGCTAATTCTGTTTGTGAATATATATTTATGTGATTATTACTGATAAAATATATCTTTCTGAAAACCATAGGGGAGGAAGATGCTGGCTTGTTGTTGGATACTCTCTTTGCATATTCAGTAAGTAAGAATGTTTTGTTAGCTCTTTCTCGTATGGTTTTTTGGTTGAGGGTTTGTTTATTTTGTGCATTTGATATATAATTTGCATGACTGGCTATTAAGGGATTTCCAAGCATAGCAATTTTGTCTATCATTTTCTTATCATATTTTGCTTTTCCCTTTACAAAATTTGTGTTAAAAATCCTATAATTTTGACATACCTATACACTTTCCTGCTAGTTATTTATTATCAGTATTCAGGAAAAACCTGCAGGTGGAAATTCAAGAATTGCATTGATTTGTAATTTTAAAGCAATATCATGTTTTTTTCCCCTCTAATTTGTCGCATGATTTTTTATGTATAACTTTGAAATTATTAGGGTTAAATAATCTACCTCTTTCATTCTTTAAATATTGCACCATGGGGAGAGGGCACAATTTTTTTTAGTGGGAAAAAAGAAGAGAGAGAGGAAAAAAAAATACAAATTTGTCCATGTGATTGTAAATTTGTAAGCATAAACTAAATAAACAAGTGGTATTTTTTTTCCTAAAATGGGTATGGTGCAATATTTTTTTTTTGAAATTTTAGCAAAAAATCACCTTTAAATCTTATTTTTTTGCATATAACCATCTTTTAAAAAAATGTTGCAAAAAATTTTGTTGCAAATTACTACTTTTTTAGCCAAATTTATCAATTGTTTTTGCAAAAAACCACCTTTTAAATCTTATTTTTTGCATATAACCATGTTTAAAATTTTTTTTTTTTGTGCAAAAGACCACCAATTCTAAAAATTTTGTTACAAATTACCACTTTTTTAGCCAAATTTATCAAAAAAAATGTTGCAAAAGGCCACCAATTCTAACAATTGATAAATTTGGCTAAAAATGAGGTAAGTTGCAACAAAATTTTTAAAATAGGTGGTCTTTTGCAACATTTTTTTTAAAAGGTGGTTATATGCAAAAAATAAGTTTTAAAAGGTGTTTTTTTTTTTCTTTCAAAATTTCCTTTTTTTTTTTTCCTAACCTGAAAAGCTCTTTTAAGAAGCTCTTTACCAAACACTCCAAAGAGCTTTCTGAAATGGTCAAACATCTTTTTTGGCTCCAAAGGCTCTTTTTACTCCAAAAAGCTCCTAACCAAACACCTTCATAGTGGCTAGTGATGTATGCTTTTTTTCTGTTATTTTGTTGTGTGCTTAGCAATGGTGGACCTTTCTTTTTCTCAGCTAAGAATTTATTATTTAAATAGATCACATGAGATATAATGGGGATTTAGATTTACTGGGCTTGATAGCAATTTCCGTGTTGCATTTTACTGGATAATTGTGGAAGCTCTGGGTGTTCTTACTGAACAGGGTAAGTATTTGGGTATACATGAACTTGTTTGGTGCTGTCCCTGGAAAATCATAAAGTTCTGCAACATAGTCCCATGGCCCATGAATGGTGATTGGTGAGCAGCAAGTATATGGGATAGAGTATTCTACCTTTTAATGGTATTACGATGATGTAAACTGTGATATTGATATCAAACGCCTCATTACATTGTTTGTATTTCCTTCACAAACAGTTATCGTCTTTTTGGGATTATGGGGTAATTTGAAAGCTTTAAACATTGTAATTGGTAGTTCTGTGTATTTTTTATTAGTCGTACAAAGTTGTTTTTATGTGGATCTCGTATCTTTAGTTTTAAAAAGAGTTAGACACACCAAGGTGCTAAGGATCCTTGGAGCCTAGGCGAGGGCGCATGCCTTTTGTAATTGAGGCACATTTTTTTAGTTTGAATTTTATTTTTAATTTACTGTTTTTCTTGTGTTAAATTTTTACGGGGTACTACGTATGGGATGATTAAATGGCTGATGGGTGCCACAATTTTAGCTTCGTCATTTTGTTTTCTCTGTTATTCTCAGTAGAGGTATTGATATTGAAAATTATCTGCTTAACATCGGGATCTGAGATTCCAACAGTGTGAAATACTTTCCAAATAAGAGGATGACGAGAGGTTTTGGTTTTTGTTATACTAGTGTAGAACTCTAATCGAATTGTTGAAACTAAATTAGTTCCGACCAACATCCACTTTGAATTAGTTTTTAAATTTTGATCACCTAGTGTTTTATCTATCATGTTAGTAATAATTTGTCTTGCTAACACCATGATACTTGGCTTAATTATTATGCTGGTGTTAGTTGCTGACAAGTGGAAAAGACAATGCTTAAGAGAATCTTAGAAAAAAGAATAGAAAATGAAGGTGTTATGCCATCATGCATGATGTAAATAGAATTTATAATGATCTATTCATTCCTTTTCCCTTGGTTGCTAATGCGTCAAAACCTTTGTCACTTTGTATTATTCATTGGTAGTTTTTCTATATTTTAAGCTACAATGGCTAATTATACATGTTTTTTCCCTTTATATAGGCTGATCAAAAGTCAAATTCTGAATCATCAGATTCGTTGGGTCCATTGGTTGATGAACGTAGTTACAACAGAAGCCCACCTGTGCCTGATGCTCAGAATCATGTAGAGAAGGTATTTTATAATTGGTTTGTCTGCATCTTTGGAAGTTCTCGATGGTCCTATTAGGGCTTTTGTGAATTCATTAAATTCCAAGGGAACTTCTTAGTTCTATTTTAGCTCTTAATGTGAACCTATACCTCTACTATCCATTTTATGGTGTAATATTCATGTGCCATTACTTTACTTATAATTTAAATGGAATAAGTTACAATGGCTCACTATTTTACGTTGCATCTTAATTAGTGTGAGTTTGAAAATGGGTACCGCATGCCGAGGACAAGGGGAAAGTTTGGGTTCCATACATTTTACCTTCATTACCCTGCTGGGGTGAGATCCTCCTTTAGAAGCATTAGGATAATATTGATGTTGATATACAAATATGAACCTATCTCAACCATCTAAAATGTGTGACAAAGGTTAATTTCCCTTTGTATAAAGCATTCTATAAATATTATTATGATAAAAAAAAGAGAGACACAAAATGAGATAAATGAGCTAATGAATTGCCACCTTCCTTTCTAATTCATAGATTATTCAGGCTACAGCCTTAGTATGCGTCGGTGACATTGCAGTTGTGAGATGATATTTCTGCAAATTCAAACTATCATCATAAATGTGATTGCAGGCATTGCAGCTGCAATTTTTTCTGCATGCTTTCAAGTTTCAATCTAAATGACCTATTTTATATAGGTTGTAAAATCATAATTCTCAATGAATGAACTTACATATGGTAAATTTTATTAATCAATCTTCCTTAGTAAGAACAGACTAGGATACCTGACCTGTAAAGTTTAATCTTTGATGAGTGTTGACAAAAAAATTTGCTTATATCTTTTGTCTTGTCAAAATGAGAGCACTGTTTAGGAAAGTTGGGAAATGATCCTCTATCTAAACGTGTCTCTGCTCAGTAGCAAATGATTTAATTTGTTAATATATTAGATCCAGATAATAACTTATGAAGCTACATTTGGTATACTTTTCCTATCATGTCTCATCTTTGTCACACTAAGTCAAGCATATCTTAACTTTGTCTCATGTTCTTTTGTTATACACAGACTCTGCAAGGAACAAAGTCTATGTCATCATCAGAGTCATTGGATAGCTTGTTTGATGATGATAAAGATGTAGAAGCCATCACATCTGCAGAATTTCATCCAAAGCAGGTAATTTATGGTTATGTTTTTTTAGTTTGTTTTTCCATGGCGTGACTCATTATTCTACATAGTTTTGCAATGAAAAAGAATGAATGCTACACAACATAGGAGCAAAGGAACAGTGATCAACTTGTCCATGGTTTTGTTTTTGTTGTTTGTTTTCTCTTTGTGGAGTGAGTAATTTATTATGTAGTTTCTACTATAAGAAAGAATGAATAATACTAATGTTGAAGAATAGCAGTTGTCCTAAGGTTACACATGTTTTTTAGGAAAGGAAATACTGATGAATCTTGCCACGTAGTATGATTTAGGTAAATGGGCGGTTAAATTATGCAGTGAAGTGGATGCCTAGAGTTTGAGTCTTCTACTATCTTATTTATCTGTATGAATTGACATAGAAATACTGCACTTAACAGTTTGAACAGACATTCCTGCTGAGTTATGTATTTGTTTTGTTTTAGGGAAATATTCTATCAGATGGCTTTAGATGGCCTTTATTTATTTATTTATTTTATTTTATTTTTATGTTTTAAATCTATTACTACTTGCACTGTCAATCTGTCGTTATCATTGCTATACCCTGTAGTTATAGTATTTATTTTTTCACTTCTTTCTTTCTCTTTTTAAAAAGCAAATATTGTATATATAAACAACTACAAAATGAACAACATTACTGGTTAACTCGGTTTATATGAAACTAATTAAGCAACTCTTAAAAGGCCAAGCCAACATACTTTATAATGACACTATAAGTGATCTTGTCCCACAACAAACTAGAAGATAAAGAAGCTTGTGAAAAGGCGCTGTAGTTTTGGCCCTACCAAACTTACCATATACTTTCTCCGTTTTTATTTACTCGACCTATGGCCTTTGGCGCAATATTGAAAGAAAGGAGAGAGAAAGTGTGGTTGGTGAACTTGGTGCACATGGTTTACTTCATTACCTTAAAGAGCAGATGAATTGTTGTCCCCTCGTGAATTTTATAAGGGTAATTTATTGAATTTGGCTACCAAAAGTTTACGTGATATAGTATGAGTCAAGTTATATGATTTTCCCATTATAGGAACGTTAGTCAAGTAAATTAAAAAACGAGCAAGTAATTGCCATAGAAGCGTTATGCCATAGTGACTAGCTAGTTACTTTAAAAAAAAAAAAATAAAAAAAAAATTGCAACCTCAAGTAGGTGAACAAGTTACTATCAGCTCTGAAAATCAAACAAATATCAGGTGAAATAATGAACCCCTGCCTTCACTCTTGGAGCATATCATTAGTATTATTCCTTCCCAGTGCCAATGTTCACTATAGATCCTCACTAGAAGAGGAACCGTTACCTTCTAAATAAAGTTTGCTTTTGGAATAGCTGGAAATCAAGGGGCTATGATCAAGCCATCAAAAAGAAAATAGTTTGATTTAATTGGAAAGGACCTTGAAGGATTACCCATCCCCATTATTTACTTTCTAGTTGAACAAGATTTAGTTCAATCTTGCAATGATGATTTCTTCATGACTTGTTAGTTAGTCTAATAAAATTCACTTCTGGTTTGTGTTTGTAAGATACTGTCAATGAGTGCTTAGGTGGATCATGGTTTATAAAATTTACTCCCTTATTTCTCCTTTACAACAACCATCCATTGTGCACCCTCCATTGCCCAAGAAGATTAATAGATTAAGTTAATGTATCTAAAAAAATAAAAACGTAAAAGGATTGAAATTGATTTAAAACAAACTTACCAAAATTTCTCAAGGTTGAGAGAAAGCCACTCACAAATGCTTGACTTTAGGAATTTGAAGATGGCCATTGAGATGCCGGAGTCTTCTTGGTTGAATTTGGCCTTCCAAAGGCTGGTATGCTGTCTCCCAGTAATATTGATTGTTTTTTGAATGTGTTGATGAGATTGTCTTAGAAATATATATATTTTCCAATTATCTCCTATGTTGTATGTGCTACTCTTTCATTTTACTCAGCTTTGCCCAACTGAAATATGTATTATTGTTTAAAAATTCCATTTATTGCTTGATGACCTCCACTAGAGTGTCTGATTTTAGTCCTTTATAAGTTATAGCGAGTGTTCTTTTGCATTATCTACGCTTGAGTTTCACCTTTGGTCCCATTGTCCGTAGGAGCCTGATGCAGTTGAGGATCTTGATGGTGACAAGAGGGCATCATTATTAATGATGAATTTTCCTATTGCTGATGTTGACTTTGCAATCAGTAAACTTGGTAAGCTGAAGGTCAACCTTGTTATTTTATTATTATTTTTTTTATAAAGTTAATATTATAGCTCATATTGCTTTTAAAGAAGATAGTTACGTGTAATTTTGTACATATGTGGCAAAGTTTATATGAAGTATTGTTTAGAGCCAGTTCTCCTAATTAAAATAAAATCTGGAGACCAATTAGGATGTGACACATGGCATTTTAAAAATATTTATTAATGTCATTTTAGGAAGCCCACCCGCTACGCATTAACCTGGGATTTTTTTCAGTTAATCAGAAGGTGGGACTATTCAAATAATGAATGTCAGGGACGTTCTTTCTTTTTTTTTCTTCTCTATTATTTATTACTCAAAAGTATTACTTTGAGTTTACGGAGTAGAGATTACTAATATGCTGTTTGACACCAATAGTATATGGTAATATAGGACAGGTACTCTCTATATATATTTATTTTATGTTTAATCCTTCTTTGGTTCTTCCTGAACCTTCTGGCTGCTTGAATTTATTTTATTTGCGCTAATATTATTGTTTATATAGATTTTGTGCTATATGATTGTAACCTTATTGTGCTTTCTAGGCATTTGAGACAAATGATCTATTAAATATAAAAAGTTTGTTGGGATTACTGTATTTTCTATATAAGAAATTAAAGGGTATTGAAGTATAATTTCCATACATCTGTAATTGTAAATGGATGGATTATTTTGGTGCTATAACCAGGTAAGAGTGCTCCAATCAATGAGCTAGTGGACTTCATCATTGCAGCTCAGATTGCTGAGAGTGAAAACGGTAACAGCCTGCCAAATGGTGATCATGTGGACAGTAATGAGGTGTGCTGTTTGATTATGCCGTGATATTTTTTTTGAAGCTTGGTATTACAATTTTCTCTTAAAAAGTGTATGAACTAACTTACATTTTAATGCTTGAATTATTGGTTTTCTTTTATGCTGTGTGACATTTTTGAAGCTTGGTATTACAAGTTTCTCTTAGAAAGTGTATAGTTGTATGTTACATCTTAATGAGTTAATTCACTGAATTGTTCGTATGTCCAAGCTAGTACCCGCTGTCCCAATTTAATGATCATAGGAAGGCTTGCACAGAGTTTTAGGTGATAAACTGTTGTTGGCTTATCCATTAAATTTTAATTGAAAAGTATGGAAGATAGTGGTGGAATATCTTTTATTGAATGAGTGTGAGATCCTTACTACTTTTAATAGTGGAAAAAAGAGGTAATAGAATATTGGTACAAGGGAGTATGAGAATTAAGTTGGGACAAGGGAGTAATCTAATGTTATACGGGGTAAACAAGTACCTAATACAAAGTACATACAAGTATGTATACATTTATTTGATGCACCAACACAACGTAGCTAGGCAAGACAACTAAAGAGAGAAAAAGAGCTCAAAGAGCTCTCACAATTCTATTAATGATTCTGTATGGCTTTCATCTCAACCGATTAAGGTCCCCCCAGGATCCTGTATGATGTTTTTGTGTCCTGATGGGGACCTATCCTGCTGTATCCCTTGCATTTTGGATTTATTTATTCGACTTGGGAATTGGGATTCTTGAATTAAATTAAGACCCCCACATTCTACTTTTTGTTAATGTGGAATCAAAAGATCCTAGTACGGATCTGGGATCATGTGCACTTCTTAGATCATTGCATCACAAGATCCAGAATTAGATTTCAGCATCCTTGCCATGTACAGTCAAAGGTCTGCAGGAAATGCTAATCCATCATGGGCTGGAGCAGCCTTGTGGTAATTTACTAGGATAAAGATGTGTGGTAGATTCACAGAGTTGCATGATTTTCTTTTAATTATTAATACATTTTGAACTACAGAATTGCAGTACGGATGCTTTATTTGGAACCATGGACAAGACTCTACAGCTGCTTCAAATGGGATTCAACGAGCAAGAAGTTTCACTGGCTATTGAAAAGCTGGGTAAGATTTCTTTATGATGTATGGTAGCTGGCTGTTTGGAGCCTTCTGTCAGAGATAAAAGGGTGTGCATTTGGCTATGTACCTCTGCTATATATAATTTGAATAGGCTATTGTAATTGATTTCAAACATCACTTAAATAAATGCTTTCTGGTGTGGGTGGGTCAAAGGGTCAAACCTGGGTTTAATTTTTATTCTCCGAGGGGGGCCATTTTGAACTATCTAACAATAGTAGCTCTGTGGATGGTTACGGCGAGCTTGTTGCTTGTCATTGATTTTGCTTGTGACCAAAAACAAAGGTGCTCATTATTTTTTAATTTTTTTTCCTTTAAGGTTCGGAAGTGCCAGTCATAGAGCTTGCCAACTGCATATGTGCTAGCCAAATGGGTGAATCTTATCGTCTGAGTACTAAGGTTTCACAACTCTTTCCTTCTCACATTTTTATGTTTGTGTATACAATATGTGTAAACTTTGTTCATAGTGAGTAAAGTTTGTGTATACCATATGATATGGTTATTATGGTCACTACAAGGGCTTTGAAGGCCATTTAACTCCTAGTTTCTCTTTTTCTCGAAGCCCAGTTTGTTATTTAATTTTGTGTTTTTATACTCTAACTTCACTATCTATGACTTGCTAAGAGGTAAGCTTTATACTTCACATCCTCCTCTAGAGGTAGGTCTGTCGACTCCATACAAGCTGGCTGTTGCTGCTGCTGCTGTCGGTGTGGACTTTGGTTACTCAAAATTTTATAACTCAGTTCATTGGTAAAGTAAATATTTCTTACTCAAGGGTGTAATAGAAATTGAGACGTTAGCATCTAAGATTATGTCAATTGTCATTCATAATCACACTTCTACCCTTTACACTATGTTTGGATAACAATAGTGAAAGGAAAGGGAGGGGAAGGAAAGAGAGGGAAGAGAAAGGGAGGAGAGGAGAGGTGTGGTGAGGTAAGAGAGTGGGCTTCCAAATCTCTCCATCAATGGAGATTTTGTATATTAAAATGGGAAGGAAAATGGATCCCTCCATTATCATTTCCATTCCCTTGCCATATGTGTTATCCAAATAAGGGAAATTATATCCCTCACTTTCTCTCCTAATATTTCTATTCTAACATAAGGTTTATAGTTTATCTTGATGCCTCTTTAATATGTCCCTTTATTTCCTCATCCAAATAGGAGCCTGGAAGTGAGTTGAGGGATAGAATGACCTTGAGGAAAATGGATCCCTCCATTTCCCTTCCCTTGCCCTGTGTGTTATCCAAGTAAGGGAAATAATATCCCTCACTTTCCCTTCCCTCCAAATTTTACTATCCAACCATAGTGTTAGGGTATATTGTTTATCTTTGATAACCTCTTTGACATGTCCCTGTATTTCCTCATCCAAATAGGAGCACTATGATAGTATGATTTATGTGTTCTATGTGCTTCTTGTACATAAGAGAGATAAAAGAGTGAATGGAAATCAACAAAACTGGTAGCATATAAATCAACTACATGTGAGCCTATATGGAAGACCTAGAAATAAGACAACTTGTCAACTGTGTCACTTCTTGAGAGGGAGGTTGGTCAGATTTGTGCTTTCCAATTTGCTCATATATTTCCATTGCTTGAAATTGCATATCACTTTCCAAATGGTGTGGTATTTGCCGGGAACATTTTTGTGGAAATGAACAAGGATGGGATGTTAGTACTTTCGATAATTTGTCACTCGTTTTAGGGTAGATAAGTTAGGTACATTCTTTTGTGCCTTTCATGTTAATGTGTTATTATTGTTTCTGACAGATATAGAGGTAATGGGTAGTTTTGATTGGGTCTGTTCAGCATTTGGTTAGGCGGATTAAAATCAAATTGGTGATTATGTATCGAGTGGGTATCGGGGCGGGTTTATCATTTGGATTTGTTGGGTTATTCGAGTTTTGATCGAAAGACTCTTAACTGGGTTAATTTTGCACGAGTCAGGTCACCATTGAACTTTTTCTTGATCATTTATGCAACGACTGTAGATGATGAATTTTCTGCTCCAATGTGGATTGTGACCTACTGCCGCAGTTGATTAGGCTGCATGCTATATTTTACTACTTTTGACAATAAATCTTTCATCGTTCTTAAGAAATGCTGCAAAAGAGAGATGTCTGGGTCTCTCTATTTTCATTTTTGAGTTAGTAGTTCACTAGTGTTTTTTTTTTTTTTTTTTTTTTTTTTTTTTTTTTTTTTTTTTTTTTGAGACAAATAGTTCACTAGTTTAGCGAAAGCATCAAAAGACTAGTTTTAACCTTGGCAATTGTATAGACATCGATTTTTGTTATTTAATTTGGCATTAATTCAATGAGATTTACACTTCTTTGTTGTGGACTTGTGCTTTATCAATTATTATGTTATTAATCATATTATGCCTTTGTTCTATAATGGTTTACACACTTTTCATTCAAGTTTTTCCTAGATTAGTTCATACACTTTATTTATTGTATCTATGCCAAAATGGGCCACTATCACAATTAACAATCCCCGTTTTCTGTTTTTCTATTATTAAAAGCACCACACTCTCTCCTATCACATTTATTTCTCTCACAAATTAATACATACAATGCCCTCCCCCCCCCCCCCCCCACCAAAAAAAAAAAAAAAAAAAAAAGAAGGAAGTTGACCTTTCTGAGATAGAGAGTATCAATTAGGTTTTTATTTGCAATAGTTGAAAATGTAATCTGCTATGTGGAAAGTTGTCAAGACAAGAGTTTTAAAAATAATTACTTCATATGAAAGAACATAAATAAATCATTGTAAGTGTTTGATTCAGACATTCAGTAGTGCTCTGGTCAACTTCAATTTGGGTCGTTATCAGGTATCGAATCAATTTGGTTCTTTTTCGGTCATAATCTGGTATTTAACTTTTTTTTTTTTGAGGGAATATATAACTTGATGACAAGCAACCTGGTCCTATTATTGGGTCAGCTAGGTGCTATATTTTAGATGCATTATATTTGCCCTTGCACAGCATGATCAAGTATATCCTCTTCATTGTGATTGCTTATTTTGTTTTTCCCCTTGTTTTCTGTGCAGAATGCTTCGGTGCCTTCAAAGATGAAGAGTTCATCTCATGATGGTTCTTGGTATCGTATCAAGGGAATGCATGGGCATAGTGGTGGTGATATATTTGCTATTAAATCTGAAAATTTTGATGAAGACTTTTTTTCTCAAAGGAGCAGCATGGGCTTAGGGAATATGTACGAAGGTATAAAGCCAAAGGAAGAATATTTTGATGAGCCGAGTTCTTCTATCAGGGATTTTGATTTAGCTGATATAAAGGGTAAAAGGCCAAAAGAAGAATATGAAGATTTGAGTACTCGTTCTTGCTATTCTCGGAAAAAATCAAAAACTCTTACGATTGGCAACAATCCATCCCCGCACGGTAAGACCTTAGGTGACAATTCTGGAATACCCAAGCTATCAAGGCCGTCTGGAAGAGGTATTGATAAAGTGCTTCATGGACCTCCTTATTTCTTATACGGAAATTTTGTGAATATATCTGCCGATGAGTGGCAAAAAGTATCTCAATATTTGTATGCACTCCAACCGGAACATGTTAATACTCAACATTTTTCCGCCTTAAGCAGAATGGAAGGATACATACATAATCTTCCTACTGAAGATCGGTTCCATGTTGATCCAAAGTCGCCAATGTCAATTGAAGAAGCGATACCACACGCGAAGAAGTGGTGGCCGTCATGGGATACAAGGAAGCAATTAAGCTGTATAAATTCTGATAATGTGGGATCAACTCAAATTTGTAGTAGCTTGGGAAAGATGTTAGTCAGCTCTCGAGGTGTACTTTCAAGTGAACGTCAAACAAAAGTAGTCTATTATTGTCGTACAATGAATCTTGTTTGGGCTGGCCCACAAAAGCTTGCCCCCATGGAACCAGAACATTTAGAACGCATTCTAGGATATCCGATTTACCATACAAAAAATCCTGACTTGAATTTGGTGGAGAGGCTTGAATCCTTGAAGCTTTGCTTTCAAACTGATACATTAGGATATTATCTCTCTGTTTTGAAGCCCCTATTCCCTGGTGGGATAACTCTGTTGTCTCTTTATAGTGGGATTGGCGGAGCAGAAGTGGCACTGATTCGGCTTGGAATTTTTTTGAAAGCTGTTGTTTCAGTGGAGTCCTCTGAAACCAAACGTAAGATTTTGAGAAGATGGTGGCAGAATACTGATCAAGCTGGGGAGTTGGTACAGATTGAAGGTATTCAGAAGCTGACAATTAATAAACTGGAGTTCCTCATGAAAAAGTTTGGTGGTTTCGACCTTGTTGTTTGCCAAAACCCATGTACATCTTCAGAAAAAGGCTCTAAGATAGTTCCTGGAAATGGTGAAGATGTAGGGTTGGACTTCACATTGTATTATGAATTTGTTCGTGTCCTGCAACGGGTAAGAAGTATGATGGGAAGGACATGACAAGCAATAAAGTCGCTATTCTGCGAGAGTTTAGTGTAGCAGACTGGAATGGCGCTGCATAGATAACCCATTTTTCAGAGCTTGAGAATGTAATAAGCTGTCATAAATCATAATGTAACTCAGACTCTCAGTTACATTTACTGAGTGGTGAACAAATCAAATGAACATCAAATGCTTATAAGGAGCTGCTCTTCAATGTTAATCAAAGAAGCATGCTCCCCAGTTTGCTAACTAGTAATTTTTTAAGTACTGCTCGATTAGCTGATAAATCATGTATTACTATTCAGATCTCATATAATTATTGTTATTTCTAATCTAATGATATCCATCTTATCTTATTGTTCAAAGCCATTTGCATTTGCATTTAGTTTGTCATTGGAATACTACTCCATTTGTTCCCTATTATTTAAAAAACCTAACCACTGACCTATAATTTTCTCTAGATTTATTGCAACAAATAGGGATTTCCCTTTCTTTTCACTTGTTCTGTAAACGAGAATCAATTCATAATTTTAGTTCATTTTGTGGGTTCTAATGTAACAGGTGACATTAGATTATACCAAAGCCTAGATTTTCTTTAGCACTTTGGTTTGTCCAAATTCATGCAATTTTTAGCTAAAACTCCTAGACAATAATGCTCTATACATTTCTTTTAGCATGCACTTTGAAGAAGAAATTAGATAAGATAAAAGCAAAATAATTTAAAGTAAATACTTTGTAATAACCATAAAACCTCAATTCTTGGTATATTTAAGCAGTAACTTGATCATGGAATATAATGAGTGAAGGGTGAGATAAAATAAAAGTGCTTCAATCTATATAAACATATCAAATCAATCCATACAATAGACATAATCATGTCCCATAATTTCATCACACAACAAGGGAGAAAAATCCCAAATGGGATGAACTATTACTACATTGTATCCTAACAAATGAAAATCATCAAAGCCCCTCCAAAAAATAAATGCAAGGACTCTATGTTGTATACATATATAGATCCATTCACCTATCTAAAAAAAATGTAGCTTCAAATAAAAATCATAACCAAACACTAGAAATCAACACCCATCAACATGTTCTCCAAGCGAAAGCGGCATACCATCTTGTAAACACTCAATAGGAGGGATAGTTAAAGTCTCTTGAATCCCATAAGCATTCCAACAAAAGGGGTCATCCACAAGCTCCCCCTGAGCAGGCAAAAGTTCGACTTCCGACATGGTTATATTGGTGCAGGGCACTGCATCACTGCAGGCAAAGTGAATAGGTGCACTACGAACGTTGTTGTACGTGCCCTTGATGTTCTTGTAAGTCACTCCTGAGAGGTAAACATTCGAGGTTTCGTTCCTGCAGGCCTTTGTAAGGCAGTAGTATTGGTCTATTATGATGCTGTTAGTTGTGTTTTCCATCTGAATATCCTGAAATGATACGTCTGAAACTGTGCCTGATCCTCCTTGCCATGTCTTGATTCTCACTCCATTGTCCGAGTTCTTGATCAAGGCGCCTTTAACCGTTATGTTTGATACACACGAGCGTGTATTGTGTACTCCAAGACTTCCAATGCTAACAATTAGACAAGACGAGGACTGTTGGTTAGCTCAATTTCTTTGGGAAAGGAAGAAATGCACAAAAATTCTTAGGGCTTTGTTCATACCAAAAATTAAAAGATTAGAGAAAAAAATGGCTATATGTATTGTAGATATAAGCTACTTAAGTTCAATTAACACGCTATATATAAAAGGCAAATAGTTTCAAATAAGTTCGGGTATAAGTTTCTGCTAATGTGATTCACTTTCTGTATAATCAATCTGGTGAAACAAATTTTATTTTTAAGCTTATGAGCATCAAAATTGATCTCTAAGCTATTATTTTAAACTTAAATAAATTTAAAATTAATAATCTTATGAGCTTTAAAATTGATCTCTAACTCTAAGCTATTATTTTAAACTTAAATATACTACATCTTCTATATTCTATGGAAAATATTATATAATTTCAGGCTGAATTTCAATTGAATTCGGCTGTTTCACTGAACACCATGAATATTGTATACAATTGAACTTAGTAACATCCAATTACACTAATTCCAACCAAACATAAAAAGCCAAAGAAAAACACACCAAAAAAGTCCTTTTCTAGGAAGTTCTTTAGCATGAAGAAAAAGACAATTAAATTCATGTGTTAATATTAATATTGTATAATCGAAAGTAAGAGAGTTCACGTTAAATAACACTATTCACCTGATCCCGTGACTATGGTCGCACACCACCCCTTGTATATCCACATCTGAACAACCTGGTCCTATTGATATACAATCATCTCCTGTCATCATTTACATAATTAATCACATTACTTTTCGCATCAATCACTAATTAAAAGGAATATACTTACTAACAATGAATTAATCACAAGACTAAATTTTTTTTTTTTCTTGTGCCACTTGGAACTAGGGGTGCAATACAGGTGAGTGGAAAAGATCCTTAGCTCGATAATCTTTATAATTTTATAGGAAAAAGTTAAATTTCTTTGTTTGGTCCCGTTAAAAAAAAAATAAAATTTCTAATTCGACCCTGGTTGGAAGACAAATGAAATTCCATGTACCACTTGGAAGCAGGGGTGGAACCTAAGGGTGCGGGTTGGAAGTTGAAACCTTACTCTACTTATAATTTTATAAGCAAAAGTTAAAATTTGTTTGTTTGGTCTCTTAAAATAAAATTTTAGTCTCGACTCTGTTTGGAAGACAAATGTTGAACTTACTTTTCTAATAAAATTACAAATCATCAAAATATATACATATTTATTCAAGAAAAAAAAGTTGTCTTTGATCTTTGGTTAGTTTGACCTTGATCTAGGAATAATTATTTTACTAATAGTATTAGCAATAATACAAAAAGACTAAGTAAATAATTTGACTAACCATTAGCAATCATGGAGTTGTAAATGCCAACATTTCTAGTGTCTTGAACATGGATGCCATCAGTGTTGGGACTGCTTTGAGGAGAATTAATTTGGATTTTGTCTATTAACACTCCATCACATCCATCAAATTTTACATGAAATTGTGGACTGTTTTGAATTCTTAGGCCACTCACTCTTGTATTGTTGCTCAAGAAGAACCTAATCATCTGCATCAAAATTAAAATTTGTAAGTACAAAATTAAGAAATTAAAGCTCAAAATAACATATGTAATTATATTTGTGATATGCTCGTACAGATCACGGTTATAAATTGGAAACTCCTCTCAAAGGAGCAAACGAGTCAATCCTTTTGAATTTTTCAAGAGCATGTTGGTGATTAATAATCCACCGGATTAAATTTTAACTAACTTAATAATCCACGTGATTAAATCCCATTTACATCACCTACTTTGCGACTCAACTCCAAAATCAATTCACTATTGGTTACTCCCTTTCCTATGTACACTCCTTGCTCAAAGTATATTCCATTCACATGTGTTAAAACAAAATGCTCAATTTAAGGATCAAAATTTCATGAATAGCAAGATAACCTCATACAAAAAAGTGAATTCCCCCAATAAAATTCCAAAATTAAATGAAGAATCTTACAATTATAATTTTTAATATTTTTTTCTAGTAAAATTATGTTAATAAAAAATGTAAAAGTAAGAAATGGTAACTTACAGCAGGACTATCACATGGTCCAGGCAATGTTGATCCATGTGGACCCTGAAACATAGAAACAACAACACAAAATTGTTAAACCCAATTAAGATTGCATTAGCAATAAAAAATTAATAATACTAATTAGGTTAATTAAGAAATAATTACCTTGTGAGGTTTACAAGGTAGGTCCCACCATTTTTGACCATTACCCTCAATGGTTCCAGTGCCATTTAAGGTGAAGTCATTTAATCTATAGAACACTAACCATTGCCTTTTGCTGTCTGATTCCGGCCAGCAATCTGGTCCTTCTGGTGGCATTAATATACCATCAATCTGTACCATACAACACACGTTTCATCTCTTTATTACATCAAGCTCAACTTTCGAGTATTTATTACGGGGTATTCAGTTGAATTCAAAATTAACAATATTTCACGCCCTTAAATTAAATGGTGATACGTAAATATGTCAGTAAAAATGTAAATTTTCGAACTAGAGAATATTTTTTTCATCATCAAATAATAAATATAGTTGCTTGTGTAGTTGTGTATCACTTCCAACTCTCCCCACATACTTATTTTTGTAATTTAATAAATGCTTTAATTTCTTTTGGCAACATAGTAATTAATATTACCAATATGTAGCCATATTGTAGTATGAACAGAATTCGAATTGGCGCGAAGTATAGGATGAGCCAACTAATTAAATCTAGTGTACTATTTTCTACCTCTATCAAAATTTAAATTTGTGAGAACATAATAAGTTAGAAAACTTGTATATGCCTACTCATTTCTAATTTCTTATATGCTTAAAAATTCAAACTATGAACTAAAAAACTATAACTCAAATGTAAGTTTAAATTTAATCTTTTCCTTATAAATCTCAATTAATTGTTAATGTAATTATTATTTCTTAATCTAATTATAGCTCCACACACATCCCCTACCTTTATTTTTTAACCCTTTTTTTTTATTGTTAAATTAAATATAGTACGGAGTATAACTTAAATAATAACCCCATATATACAAGCATACAACTAAGGAGTTTATTAATTCACTTATTAATAATTTGAAAGTCAAAAAATAAGTTTTTAGAAGGTAATTAAATGTTTAGTGACAACACTATATGATAAGCATCAAAACATAGAGTTTACCTGCAACACAAGGCCGGGCTTACACGGGCCACTAAAAATAGAAGAAGTGATCATGAACTTCCCTCTAGTAGGAACAAGAACAACACTCGATTCGACGGCACACGCCGCCTTCCAAGCAGCCTGAAATGCATTAGTGTCATCACTCGAGCCATCTCCGACTGCCCCGAACGAGGTCACGTCGAATATGCACGGCCCTTCGGAGTCGGGGCTCGGGTACGGAGTAGAAGGAGCAACAGGAGGAGGAGAGGGTGAAATTTGATCATCACCACTTGGAACAGGAGCATAACTAGGAGAAGATGGTGCTAAAGATTTCCCACCTTTTTTCTTATGATAATGAGCTCTTCCTTCTACTAATAACACATTTGTAAAATGGTGGGTTAAAATTATCGATATTAATATGACAAAGGTATAATACGAACAATGCTCCATTTTAAAATAATGAGTGAAAAAAAAAAAAAGTTGTGTTTTGGTTAGTTTTGTTATTATGTGTTTGTGAAAAAGAAGTGAACTTCAAAGAGTATTTATATAGGGAAAAAGGTGTTATAAATAAGTAAGT